CCATCTTTCTCGTTGTCTTCCACTTATGTTTCAATTTCGTCCTCCGATTCTTCCTCGGTCTTATCGAATGGTACCGGTTGGAACGGTGACCATTCCTCAGTGTATTCAACTACACCCACCGTCGAAGTTACACCGTCCGCTATTAGGTTGACCGTCTCGTTTATCCATCTTGAAACATCCCGAAAATATGGTCCAAAAATTTCGTTTTCAAATCATTGTTAAAATCATAAATCATCCAATGTCATAAATAAAATGTGAATCATGTATCATAAAACATCATAGTATCTGGCACAAATTAAATCTCATAAGAAAACATCAGAGTAAACTCCAATGCTAATATTGTGGTGTGTTCCATGCCATCATCCCGAGCTCTTCCCCTTCCTACCGGAAGTACCTTAAACCAAAACTGAAACTGTAAGCACGAAGCTTAATGAGCCCCCCCCCCCCCCCAAACTACCACATACCATACACATATAACATGCAACTAGGAGATACGGGCCCCGCCCACACTCATGGAGATACGGACCCCGCCCATACTCCACTATCTCTGAGATACAGGCCCCACCCACACTCAGCCACTTCGAGATACGAGCCCCACCCACACTCGGCTGCTATGAGATACGGGCCCCGCCCACACTCAACTACTAGACAAACATACAAGTATCACACAAACAATAAGTATAACTAAATCTATCATTCAGACATATATCATAATCAGACTCAGCTACCAGGAGATGCGGTCCCCGCCCACACTCAACTACTAATCATAACATGTTGTGGGACGACCTTTGTGCCTTAGACGCGTTCCTACTGAAAGGAAACTCACCTTGTATGACTGACTCCTGAAAACCCGAGTGAGGAATCCATGTTTGTTGCTCCGGTAACTCTCCAACTATAAATTCCATAATAACACTTAGTTAGAAACCGATAACTATTCTTAGGGTAAAATGACCATTTTACCCATGGTCAAAGTCAACATCCTTGTCAAAGTCAATTTGCCAGGTTGACCAAACTCACCGAGTCGGCCTTATGACTCACTAAGTCTTAGAACTCAGAAACCTGGAATCGCGACTCGACTCGCCGAGTCAACCCCATGACTCGTCGAGTTCCCAAGCTACATATCATCGCGATTTTACGAACTAGCTTGTCGAGTCGTCCTTAGACTCGCGCGAGTCTTGACATAAATAGAAAAGGGACAAGATCCTTCTACTCGACGAGTTCCTTAATCGACTCGCTGAGTCCTATGAACGTCATCGGGGTTTCTTCATCAGACTCGTTGAGTTCCCTCATGAACTCGTCGAGTCCCATGCAGATCTAACCTAGTTAACTGGTTTCATAATTCAACATCTCTAAAATACAGATCTAGGTTGTTTCCAAGGTCCATTTCTATAAAGTTGGAGACTTTATGGCTTTGCACGCCTCAAATGAACCCAAACTCAAGTTATAACAATCTACTTTGATGAACATGGTCATGGCTTGGATAGAAACGGGTTCAAGACCCTTTTATGGCTCTAGAGGCCCTAAATTATAGAAAAGGAGAATTACTTTGCATACAACCCAAGGAAACAACTTTTCCTCATCAAAGGGGGTCAAAAAGACCCAAGAATCCACATACAAAGAGATATAAGCTATAGTTCATCAAGCTAAGAGTTTTTTACCTCAGAAAGCTGCCAAAGATGAGTGTGTTCCTGGATCTTGTTCTCTTTTCCCAAGCTTGTTAGCTCCAAGCTCTTGCAATTACCTTCAATGGAACCAATATACACTCAAAAACTCAAGGGGAAGGCTCTCAAACGAACTAGGGTTTCTGGAGGATAGGGGGGCTGATAAGGGAGGCCCAACGGGGGATTAAGAGGTTTAAATAGGGTGCAAAATCCGGAAAATAGGGTTTCCTCATGGCAGACCTACTCGTCAAGTCCATGCTTGGACTCACCGAGTAGACTTTTTAAACCCCGCGTCTAATCTGGCATATACTCGACGAGTTAGGGCTACCAACTCGTCGAGCAACTCGAAAATAAATACTTGATAAATTAAGAAATTGCATACTAGAAACGGGGCGTTACAACTCTCGCCTACTTGCCTTAGACTTCATCCTCGAAGTATGATGTGTCTGAAAATAAATTTGGGTAGTGCTCCCTCATTTCCTCCTCGGGCTCCCACATCCACTGTGAACCTTTGCGGTGCTACCACTGCACCTTCACTAGCTCGATCCGCTTGTTCCTTAGCGCCTTTATCTTGCGATCTAAGATCGTCACTAGTCTCTCTATGTAATTCAGACTGTCATCAACTTGAATATCCTCCATAGGTATCACCGTTGAATCATCCACCAAGCACTCCTGCAGCTGGGAAACGTGGAACGTGTTGCGGATCTGGCTGAGCTCTGCTGGGAGGTCTAACCGGTAAGCAACCCCACCTACCCGTGCTGTGAATCTAGTGATGGTTTCATACCAGGCTCGTGGAGCTTGCTTCAGACCATACACAACTTTATCCAGAACATAGCAGTGATTTGAATATTTCTCATTTACGAACCCAGATGGTTGTTCCACATAGACAGTTTCTTCCAGTTCTCCATTCAGAAATCCACACTTGACGTCCTTTTGATAGAATTCAAAGTTCTTGTGTGTTGCGTATGCCAGAAAATGCAAACAGATTCCAGCCTCACTACTAGTGTACAAGCTTCCTCATAGTCAATGCCTTCCTCTTGGCAATACTCTTTTATGAATAATTAAGCCTTGTTTTAGATCACATTGCCCTCTTTTTCAAGTTTATTTTAGAACATCCATTTGAGACCAACGACAGGTGCATCCTTCGGAGTTGGAATCAACCTCCAAACCTTGTTAACGTTCAAACTCATTGAGCTCATCCTGCATTGGTTGCACCCAATCGGAATAATGAAGAGCAATCTTAACATTTGTGGGTTCAATCTTGGAGATAAACAAATTGAACATGAAAAATTCCATTTTGGAGAATAATGCAGTCTGCTTCGCCTTTTATTGTGCTCTTGTAAGAACTCTTGAAGATGCTTATCCGATTACTTGCATTTTAGGATGATCTTGTGTCCATTTTGCCAACGGAGGGTAATTCAGATCATAAGATGGATCTAGTTCAACATTTACATCTTCAAATCCTGATTGAGTATCCGAATCATTATTTGCATTCGTATTCTCCCCCTTAAATTATGGATTCGGCTCTTCTTCCGGAGTAGGATTCTCTCTTTGGACTGGACTTCCATGGCTTACTTGAGGTGTTGATGTAACATCCCAAAAATCGTGACCGAAAATTTCTTTTTTATTTCATATATATATATATATATATATATATATATATATATATATATATATATATATATATATATATATACACACCATAGTTTCTAAGCATTCCATTCATAATGAAAACAATTATATCAAATCATAGTATCATCTCAAAACATGTTCTTTTATCAGAGTATAAGCCTCCCAGGCTAAAACTTCTTTGTGTGTGCGATGCAGTCATCCCGAGCTCCTCCCTCCGCTACCGGAAGTACCAGAAACCAAAACTGAAAACTATAAGCATGAAGCTTAATGAGTTCCCCGATCTACCACATGCCATACATAATCACAAATTGCAAACATTGGGCCAAGCCCGCTACGTCGGGCTTCGCCCGACATCGGACAAATTTGGCATTAGGCCCCGACTGGCATCAGGCCTCACCTGGCATCGAGCCTCGCTCGGTATACAGATTTGTTTCTCTTAGACCCCACCTGTCTCTGGGCCCCACCCACTAACATACTCAAACATATACATAACACATAACACATAATCTAAACATATTCTATTGCAATCTTGTTCTAAGGCCTCGCCTATCTTGGGCCTTACCCCTACCATGCTACTGGTGAGTCATGAACCCCGTCCATGCTCCTGCTGATAGTGAGATACGCGACCTCGTCCATAATCACCTCTCTCCTACATCAGGCCTCATCCTTGTTTGCTACTAATGAGATACGAAACACCGTCCGTAATCTGCTAGTGATGAGATACGGGACTTCGCCCACACTCACCTCTCTACCAAGCACATACAAGTATCACACAGAAAACAAGTATAAACTATGATTCAAACATTCCTCTAGCTTACCCCGACATCGGACCTTGTTCCGGAATAACATACACATAACAACCTTCCTCGGGCACCCGCCCGACATCGGACATTGGTCCAGAATAACATACTAGCATACAATGTCTAGGGCTAACCCTCCGGGTCTTCCTACTCATAAACTACATGGATCGGCATTATGGCGACATTAGAGTGTTATTTGTGTTCGGAAACATGACTAGAATTGTCATTTCAATAGAATTGGCTCTATCAGGTATGATAACTAAAGGCTCCATGTCTCAAATACATTCTTTAAGTCTTGATATAAACTATATCCACGAATCCCCACTTTTAGTTTTTCCAACACCAAATGTTATTAGGAGGATTTGGTTATCACTGTCCATGACTACTGATAGGAACATTGTCCAAGTATTTTTCTTTAAGATATTTTATGTTAATGATAATAATAGGACACAAACATGTTTGAAACGCTCAAACCTACACAATAATTCAATAGATTAGTCATAAAATCCAATAAATGTATATTCAATAGATTATATAAGAAATATTATCGCGCAACCGACAACGATGAGAAAAATATTAAAATTTGTTGTCATGTCATATCTTTATATGTGTAAGGGTCCTTGAATTCTTCCTCTCCAACTTGTAATAATATAAAAAAAATCTTTAAAAGCTTTCTTCAAGGATATTCCTCAACAAATTCAGAGCATACATTTTTGCATTTCATGTTTGCTCATATGAAATATATACGTTAAGACGATCATTTAATGTTCGTTGGATCTGTTTTCCCCGCAACATATTACATGTAGTGATGATAGAGGAAGAGTTGTGTGTTTGAGCAAGTATCGCCACGATACTTAATCATTTTAAGCAATTTCCTATAATATATAATATAAGATATATAAAAGTACACCGACTTAAGTTTTAAATAAGAAATATAAATACTTACGGCCCATTACCACTAACAAAAGCCCAATGGGTTGGGCTCTAATTCTACACTTGTATGCTTTCCTGATCTCCACGCAAAGACAACCTTCTACCAACACCACCGGCGCCCGTCGGGGAACCACTGTGCTCCTCCAGATGGATGTACTCTTCAATTCAATCGACGTCCGGGATTTGTTATCGTCACATGATCTAGACGACTCTTCACCGCTCTCCGCCCCCGATCTCCGCCTCCTCATCGACCGTCTCCAAGTCCGTTCACTCGACATTAAGTCCAAAGTCCACAATTACATACTTGCTAACAATGATGACTTCTCTGCCCTATTCTCTCGCTGCTCCGACGCTGTTATTAATTCTGAGCAACTATCCGATCAAGTATCTAACCTTGTTGGTCTGTTATCATCGAATCTTCAACCGATCGATCTGAAAATCAAAGAAACAGTCGATGAGATTAGGAGGAAACGTGTTGAATCGAAAGAGAAGAAGGAAGCGCTAGATTTAGTTAAGGTAGTGTTGAAATTGAGCCAACAGTTGAGTGTTGTGGAGAGTGATTTGATGGCGGGAAAGGTCGTTGAGGCTGCAGAGGCTCTTACGGACTTGAAAGTGGCTTTACGAGTTAGAGATAATGTGGAGGATCTCAGGGAAGAAAGAGAGCCATTAGTATTTGGTTTGTTAAGGAAGAAATGGACAGATTGCTTCGAAGAGGTAGAAATTGTATTATTTTTCATGTGTAGAGCTAGAAAGAAAACTGAATTTATAAATCCTGACGTTTATTTGGCACAATACGTTTCCTTATTTCGCAACATATGATGTTAGATGATGATTATCTTTAAGAATTATGACATAATTGATTATTTGCCTTTCTTGAGTTCGTGGTGTGTTAACTGGAGCTGAATTTGCGTTTGTAGATACAAAATGTGCTAGTGAAGTTCATGGAGAATGCAGTGAGATTCGATCAGCAGTCCAATGCAGTTTATGTCAAAAATAGAATGGCTATGAATGACAATCAAGGGGTTGAGCTTTGTACTGTTGTGAAAGCAATGCATGTAAGTTTAAATCCTTTCAGCTTCTCCTCTTTATTTGATTTTGTTGGTGAACAATCCTAAGATAAGTTCTTATAAGCATATTGATTCTACTAAAACTCTGGGTTAATTAACCTCTGATAACAACAGAGAAAGAAATTTTTGAGTTCCTCTCTTTCTAATCATCATATGCAGATCAAGTTGAAATTGAAAGGCTTTCTTCTTCTCTTTTCTTGTGCAGGTAGTTGGTATTCTAGATTATGGGCTTGCAAAAGTAGCAGACATGATGACCAGGCATGTGATAGCACCTGCAGTGCGCTCTGGTTCTCATAGTTTCTCTGTAGAAGAAAAAAGACTAGATTCAGGATATATAGCTGAGGTAGTTTTGAGAATAACCCCACCTTCTGATTCTCAGGTATTTATAAAGTGGCATTGGATATTTCATTTCTTTATTTATCTTATGCATATCACTAATAACAAAAAGTATTATAGATTAACTTCTTATATTGTCTTAAACCTTTATGCATGCAGATTGAGAACATGGATGCTGAAACTATCTATTCTGGAATTAATGTTGTGATTCAATTCATTTTCAACTTTATCTGCTTTCAAGATTCTTCCTGGATGCGATACTTTGGAAGATTAACATGGCCCCGAATGTCAGAATTGATTATCTCTAATTTCCTTTCCAAGGTTCGTTCCTTTTTACATAAATGTTTATGACTTTTTACAACTCATAAGAATCAATCTAATTGACTACTTTTTATTAAACAACAAAACCATCATATGTTAGATAATTGATTTGCATTATGTGATGCTAGATTGTTCCCACTGATGCTTCCAAACTTGCTGACTTTCAAACAACAAGACAACTCACATCTGACTTTGAGGCATCTCTTAAACAAGTTATGTTCATCTCCCCTGGGAAAGATGAAAGGTTGACTAATTTTGCTGACAATGTTGAAGTTCACTTTGCAATGAGGAAAAAGGTTGAGATTTTAGCATCAGCAAGAGACCTCCTTCTACATTCAGATTTTAATCTTCCTAAAGTAAGCTCCCTAAACTTTTTCCCTACACCCTTTTCTGTTCTTCATCAACTGTATAAACATTGATTGAATGACAGTTCTTTCACAGGACTATTCAAGGAAAAATACAGAGCTTAAAAATGGTGGAAACACAGACTTACTTTTTTCCTCTGAAAAATGTGTCATTTCTGAAGCAGCTTCTCGTCTAATGGAAGTTGTCCATGAAACACTAAAGGTTAAATAAAATATTACTTAGTTGAATAATATAAAAAAAGAAAGTTACTTTTTCAGTTTTCTCTTAAAAGTACATTGGTGTATTATGTGCAGGATGTTTGTTTATCATCTGCAACAGTGGCTTTAGAATTCTACCATGCTGCTAGGGATGCTCTACTTCTTTATGAAGCTGTTATTCCAGTCAAGGTTTGTAATTATTTTGAAGAAAATGAAAATGTGTGTATTTATGGTATTATTTTGGCCTTATAATATTTCATTTTGTGTTATGAAGTTAGAAAGACAGCTGGATGGAATCAACCAGGTTGCTGTTCTTATTCATAATGATTGTCTTTACCTTTCACAAGAGATTCTTGGCCTTGCTTTTGAGGTATGATTATTAAATAAAGATAACTTATTTTTTGAAGTGGTAAATAAATATATTTCCATTTTATTATTTCAGTATAAGTCGGATTTCCCAATTTCCATGAAGGGAGCTGTGTTTATTGATTTGGGTGTAAGATACAAGATTATGGCAGAAGAGATATTACAGAGACAGATACAGCTTGTTAAACATAATTTAATGGAGGTAAATTTATTTTTATCTTTCAAAATTCAAATTCAAATCTTTTTTTTTTTTTTCTGTTAAATAATAAATTTTGAATTTTTTTTTTTTTTTCAGGCGATTGATGGGGCTGATGGATTTCAAAATACGCATCAACCAAAAAGATGTGAATCTGCAAAATTTAGTATTGATCAGGTGGCTTTTATACTGGAGAAAGTTCACATAATATGGGAGCCACTTTTGCTTCCTTTGACATACAAAGGAAGTATGTGTAGTGTTGTGGAGGCTGTTTGTTCTAGAATGACAAAAGATATACTCATGTTAGATGACATTGCAGCTGAAGAAACCTTACAGGTTCGTTTTGTAAAACCTTTCTTTGTAAATTCTATTAGGGCGTGATCGGAATCCGTGATTCCGACGGAATTGGAATCAGTGATTCCATTCTGTGTCGTCTTTGTATGCTAAATGGGTGGAGTTTTGGTTCTTGTTAGATTTGTTTGGAGTTCATGTTTGATTACAATTCCTTCCGATTCCGATTCCCCTGGAGTTCAACTCCTTTGACAGATTCCATTCCTTCCACATAAATACGTTATTGTTTTTTTCAGCTTCAAAGGTTGATTCATATGCTGCTGGAAAACCTTTCTTCTTTAATGGAATCCTTGATTGCCATCAATCAAACAACAAAGCCACAAGAGAAGTCATCAGGCTCTGTTAATGATCTAATTCCATCACTCCCTAGACTACGGATATTAGCAGGTATTTTTTTCTTTTCTTTTTTTTTTCTTTTTTTTTTAATTATTTAAATTGGTGTCACTAGGCATCTTTTACTTTAGCTAGTGTTTGTGATGAAATCTGAGACGGAATGGAATGGTTTATTCCAATGGAGTCAATCAGCTTTTGTTTTTCATTCCCATCATGGAATGAAGTGGAATGGAATGAAATTTTACAATATAACCCAACTTTGTATTTATTTAATTTGTAATGTCTGAAAAAAAAATCATTGTTTTAATCAAATACAATTTTATTTTCTAAAAAAAAAAAACTAGAAAATATAATATACTTTTTTGTTATAAATCTTATTTGGGATTTAGCAAGGAATAAAAATTTATTAATTATAATTAATATCCTTAGAAAGCAGAGTTAAAACTTATATATATTGGAAATTAATATAACAATAAAAAAATCCATTCCAATAACATGATCATGGAATGTAACTACTACTTATTCCATTCCATTCCATCCAATTCCAACCAAATTGGAGTTAATGATTTGATTTTATATTATCTATTTAAAATATATATATATATATATATATATATATATATATATATATATATATATATATATGAACAGATATGTTGGACATGCCTTTGAAGTCCATTACTGCATCATGGGAAAGTGGTGAGCTGGCAAAGTGTGGCTATACTTCATCTGAGGTATTATTATTATTATTATTATTATTATTATTATTATTATTATTATTATTATTATTATTTATTAAATCTTTTACTTAATAACACTCATAAACTAAACCTTTCAATTTTTATTTAGTTATTGCTATTTGTATATATGTTGCAGATGAGGGACTTTATCAGAGCGATATTTACCGATTCCCCCCTACGGAAAGAATGCTTGTGGAGAATTGAAAATATCACATTTTAGTTTTTTTTTTTTTTTTGCTCCATTGTATATACCCCTCATGTTGTACTATAATCAAAGGAAAATTTCTCTGATTATGTCATCTGTCATCTGTGTTTTTTTTATAGTCGGAATTTTTATTTTTACAAGTGAGAAATTAGCATTCTATAAATATTACCATGATTTTCTCTTGCTCTTTTTTCAACTCTGATAACAGTTTTTATTTATTTATTTATTTGTTTTCAATTTTCAAATGTTCACTAAGCAACAAAAGGCCCACAATTTTTTTTTTTTAAAAAAAGTCATCTACCACCATCTTGTATTTTGTGTATATATGTAATAAAAACTGACAAAAAAAAAACATTAAAGAGAAGGAAACCCGAAGTTGAGAAATTTAGTTTTTTTTTTTTTCTATATCAATTAATTTCATAAAGAAACTGTGTAAATAAATTAGAACCTTTATTTCAAGGTTAATAGTAGTAATAAAACTCCACACCATATCAACCATCTCCAAAAATGTATATGTATCTCAAAACTGATTCCATTCCCATCTAATCTACATCATTGATCATTCCCTTTTCAAGCAGCATTATGTGCAACCGGAATCGCGCTTTCCGATTCCGATGCCTTGACCGATGCTTTGACCGCAGTATTTGACTTCCTCAATCGACCCAAAATTTTCTTCAATTGCCATTTCTTTGGTTTAACTTGACCCAAAAGCTTCATCTGTTCCCTTTTAAATTTACGGTTTGCATACCACCTCCCACCTCTCCAACCCAACCCATACCTGAAAAAAACCACAGGGACTATTTTCGTAATTTCATTCAATTACAAGGTGTGATATGGTAAATTTTATAAAAACAACAAAAGTTTTGAAGAAAGACTATTTCACAAACCCGATTACCAAAGTGACACCCGATGTGGCCACACAAGCTGCAGCATTGGAATTACCGTTTCCAACCATCTTTTTGAATTCCTTTCCATCAAGGTCATAATTTCTTTTCATCTACAAAAAAACTTATAAAGTATAAACACTATCTTATTATTATATTTTATATATTTTATACATTGTTTCAATTTTATTGTTAATACTAACAGCATTTTCGATTGAGTCAAGCCTTTGTTCAACTTTTGTTTCATGAAGGTGGCGTAGCGTATAGCCTGAAAAAAAAAATTCACATTTTTAAGTTAAATTTGATACAAACATAATCTAGTGATTATAGAAGCATCTCATGCTGTAATTCGAGTTAATTTCATGGTGTTTGATGTTGCAAAGCTTACACAAATCCATATACTTAAACCTAATTCTTGTATTCTTATCAATTCTTCTTCAATTTCAAGAAGAAAATTATTCTATTTATAACATTTAGTATGATACAGATGGAGTCAGGAGATTTCTTCCAGAAAAAGTTATGAATATAGGTCGATGAATTCGACATTGAAGTAAAGTAAGCTAAACATACCAGTCCAAGCAGTGCCAATGGATGCTATGGAAGTTAGTAATGTAAACACAACTTTATGCCTCTCATATGTATCCTATCAAAATGAAGATCGTCAATGAAAGGGGAAAAAAGAGGGGAGATATAGATAAGAAGCCCTAATTGCTGCGTAATCACAAACGATCAAATTGGATGAAAACCTGAATCATTTAAAATACCTTGGTTGATAAGAAAGTGTCTTCAAGAGCGGACAATGAATTCGAAAACATTCGTTTGATATGATGAATTGAGAAAGGCCTTGTAAGAGAGGAACCCTTCTTTAAACCCTGCATAGTGATTTACGTTACCCTCTGCAAAGAATCGAAGGTTATTAGTGGGTTTCAAGATGAAAGTGTGAGATTTTAGATGATGGCGTTTGATTCCAGAAAACGGGTTGCGTTTAGTTTTTTGATCTTTTTTCCTTTCTGAAATTGCGTTTCTAAAATGGTCGTTGATGGAAAAATCAAGAACCTCGGACAAGTAATATAACCCGAGAAATTGTAGTGTTTAAAGTGAGCCTGTGTCAACGTTGGGACTGTATCTAGCAGCGTTTTTTTTTTCCCCTTAATAATAGCAAATTCATTACATTAACCATTTTAAATATCCCTAATTAAAGAAAATAATATTTTTTTTAGTCTTTGATTTTTTTAATATCTCATTTGGAAGCTTTTTCAAATTTTGGAATTCGTTTTGGCTTGTTTGCAAAAGAAAAAAAAATCAAAGAAATCTATTACTTATGTCCAAAATATTCATTTAGAAAGTAGTATCATATATTTTTTTTCAATCAATGCTTGATTTTATGTCATAATATTGTATATAGTTATCATTTATTGTGTTTGTTTAATTTTTTTTATTAGATTTAATAAAAAGTAAATTTTTTCTTATAATTCCAGAATTATTCATCAGATTTCAGATTTGTTTTTGAAATTCTAAAATTCTTTTTTTAATTTTTTCTGAACTCCAGAAACATATAAGCATTTATTATTGCACAAGTTCATAAGCATCAAAAACATATAATAATTTTTATGTGTTCATGCAACATAATTTAAGTTCATTCTATTATTGTACCTACTAAACTAATAAATGTTACATACCTCTTTTGAAGCTAGAGATCTCTTTGCTTGAGATCGAGTTTTTTCCACATTTGCTTGGACAAGAGGACCCACAATAGAATTCGTCTAACGACATCACACCCAAGAACACTATGAGAGCAAAACAACGAAACCCTAGGAGATGGGAGGTCAAAACGCCAAAAAAAATAGAAGGGTTATTTTGCGTTACCTAGGAAGGAGGAAAAGGAGGACGAAATCTAGGAGTAAGAATGAGCAATTAGGGTTTGATCTCTAGCTCCTTATTTATAGGCTCTCATTTGCTTCCTGCCAAAGCAACTCCAAAACCTTGATAGGGCTTATCAAAATTTATCCCTTATAAATATCTTTCTGGAATGTTCCAATTAATTAAACATTTTAATTAATTAACATTCAGTCCTTCTAATTAATTAATTCAAAAATAGTTTCTAATTAATTTATCATAACTTAACAATTTAATAAACTAATTTCTCCTAAAACTTTGTCTTTTAATTACTCAAATGGGTCTTAAGGGCAACCCAAAAGGGCCCTTAGAAATATCACTAATAGTTATCATATTGGAAACTATTTTCAACAGTCTTCCATTTGGATAAGTCATCAACTATACGAGGTCTAATACTTCTCAAATAATCAACTCTGAATGTTCATTATTATGTTTCCCGAAAGATTTGTAAAGACCACATCGGACTACTAAATTGAATACATCAATTTCAGTCAAGGCTGGAGAGGGTAATCCTTCCCAAGTAATGCATAAGTAAGATCAGGACTAGAGGGGTGTGAAGAGTAGGGGGGTCTCTCGGCCAACACTTTAGATGTCAGCAACAAATCATCGAGGAGCCCATAGATATCGATTCCCCAATTAGGGGAAAAAAAGGAACAAATAACCTTTAAATACATAACATTCGTCTACTCATCATGTCATACATAGACATACCTTTATTACTACCAATTACGGATAGTGTTGGAAAGTAAAAATCTCATGTATCTCTGTTTGAAGAATAAGAGACGTTATCATCTAGAATTACTTATGACTTTATCCATGACGTAATATCTAAGTGTGGTTTGTTCTAATACTTATATATCCATTAAGTACTCATGAGTGTTAGTTGTAGTCTCTATGTTATGTCAATTCAGCATGAACAATCTACTAATACTCAATGACAGTCTTAAATCGCCACTTACGTCCAAGAGTATGACCGAATGTAGAGGTTTGAGCAAATTAATACTCAGGAAGTGAGTTCCAAATATGAAAAAGGAGAACACAACAATAAACTAATGAGATGACTGATCTTCATCAAGTATTAGATCTCTACTTAGTAATTATTAAATTGGATAAATACTTATATTGTTTAAGTTCTCAAATCTAAAAGAAACTAAACTAAATATGCTTAAGCTAATTCATTTGCAAATCTAATGCCTTCTTACCATGTTTAGCCATCAAACCTTGTCACTGACACTGGCTTAGAGAATGGATCTACAATATTTTCTTATGATATGACTATGTTGATTATGATGTCTTAAAATTCAATTCACTATCAAATATGATGGTACTTAACCTTATGTGACTTAGGATCCTTACTCAAGGTAAATTCACCCTTATAGTCACAAGAAACTTTAAAATAACCATCAATGGTTGAATTTCAACAGATGCCACTAATGAATATCTTTTAGTCACATAGTTTTCCTTTGTAGTCTAACTAGTTGTAATATACTCTAAGTATGTTGTTAAATCCACTATGGTGTAGTATCAGGTACTCTTCCAAGTTAATACCACATCATTTAGTAAAAGCACGAATTTCGACCGTAAACAAAATCGTCTTTATTAGTGTGAAACTTAGCATCAATGTAACCTTTACATTGATCACTTCCATACTAACAAGATCATCTTCTTTGTCCTCCTAGGACACTTAGGAATGAACATTTGATTATGTATTTTGTATTTTAAAGTTTCTTTTTAATTGTATCATAATAGACTAGTTAGGAAACCGTATTAGAATAGTAAATGTAATAAAAGAAGACAGAAGATTACCAAATGGTGGTCGAACATCCATGTGGTTGCTTTATCCCTAAAAATGACTATGTTTTTCCGCATGTTAGCTAACAGGAAAAACGCATAGGATTAAAGAAAATGTTACTGATAGTTTCATTTTGTTTACTTTTTTTATAGTTTATTTTAGCATGTTTCATCTCATTTTAGTTAATCTTCATGCATTTTGTTCTATTTTTGTTATTTTATATCTTTATCGGGTACTTTCTAGTCTTTTCAGCTTAGTTGCATATTTATTAAAGGCTATTCAAAGTGGAGCGGTTAGGGGGGTATGAGATCTTAAAACATGAAGCTTGTAGTACATTTCCAAATTACTTGATGGACACAACTGGCCTATTGATTTAAGGAGAGATGTGATGATGTGGGCTACTTCGAAAGTGTTTCGTTGACAACTAATTAGGTTCAGTCTTAAATGAAGATTAGCATAAAAAAAAAAGAATGTTTGGAC